CGGCCTGGCGGCTGGCCGCGTGGCTGGGATCCTGAGGGTGTGCGGCCCCAACCCCGCAGGCCAACGCGCTGCTCATCCGGGAGGTGGACGTGGAGAAGGTGATGACGTTCGAGCACCAGTACGTCGACGCCATCAAGACGCTGTGGAACGACCCTGGCATCCAGGAGTGCTACGACCGGCGGCGCGAGTACCAGCTGTCCGACTCCGCCAAGTAGTGAGTGTGGCCCTGTCCCTCAGGTCCCCACCGCCCCCACTTTCCCCACCCACCTTCCTCTGCCTCAGCCCAGGGAGGTGGGGCCCCTGGCCTGGGCCGGGAGGTGCTCGGTGCCTTGGTGACCTCGCCTGCTGCCTTGCAGTTACCTGACTGACGTGGACCGCATCGCCACCTCGGGCTACCTGCCCACGCAGCAGGATGTGCTGCGGGTCCGCGTGCCCACCACGGGCATCATCGAGTACCCCCCACCCACCTTCCTCTGCCTCAGCCCAGGGAGGTGGGGCCCCTGGCCTGGGCCGGGAGGTGCTCGGTGCCTTGGTGACCTCGCCTGCTGCCTTGCAGTTACCTGACTGACGTGGACCGCATCGCCACCTCGGGCTACCTGCCCACGCAGCAGGATGTGCTGCGGGTCCGCGTGCCCACCACGGGCATCATCGAGTACCCCTTCGACCTGGAAAACATCATCTTCAGGTACCTGGAGGGGCAGAGCGGCCGCCGTGAGGGTGTCATCACCCTCTGTCCCTCCAGGGTCACCCCTCTCGTCTCCCGGGTGTCTCCTCGCACAGGAAGCAGCCCGCAGCTGGCGGGAGAGCGTCCCCGGGGATCACTGTGTCTCTGGGCCATCGTGGGAGTCGCTGTCCCTCTGCCCCTGGTTCCTTCCCGAGCCACTGGCTGGCTTTGCCCACTTAGGGTGCCCTCTCAACCGGCACTGGCATGGCTGCTTGCACCCTCTGCAACCTCAGGGACGACCCCCTCCCCGTGCCGGGCCCCCACAGTTCCCCTGCCAGTGTCGGTCCTGTGTATGGACAGGCTCCACAACAGACGGCTGCGCTCGGTGCCCCGGCGCTGGACGTCATGCTGTCCTCGGTCCCCTCCATGCTGCCGGGCTCCTGCTGCCCCGAGGCTGGGCTCTCCAGGCCTTGAATGTTCACAGGCCCAGAAACAGTCGGCCTCCGTATCTGCTCAACTCACTGTGGACAGAGACCATGGGGAGGCCCAGGGATGTAGCCCAGTGGCACCACACCTGCCTAGCAAGTGCATGGTCCTGAGTTTGGTCCCCGGTACCGAAACACCCTCCAGAAACAGAACCGAGACCACTGGGGAAGCAGCGTCTGTCCCGAGTGTGGGACTTCACGTTGTGCCATCCGTGTGGCAGCGGGTGTTACAGACCACCTGGTGGTGATTGAGAGCCGGTGGGGGGTGCGGGATCCAGGGGCCCAGGGGCCCCACCTCCCTGGGCTGAGGCAGAGGAAGGTGGGTGGGCAGGGCGGGCCGCCCCATGCATTCCGCTGTCCGCCTCCCAAGCCCTTCGGCCACCTCAAGCCACACGCTGGGGCTGGCAGCTCGGTGAAGGAGGGAGGGGAGGCCAGCGCCCCTCAGGGCCTCGGAGTCTGAGGGGCAGCAGACAGCAGTCATGGGGGAGGGGCCAGGCGCCAGGCTTGGCACGGAAGCTGGGTGTCGGGGTGCCGGGCCCCTTGCTTTCCTTTCGGGCTGTCCTCGGTCTGTGTCCTCCCCGCCCTGCGGCACCTCCTTGGAGCAGGCTCAGTGTCCTGTCGTCTGGCCGGGTAGCGTGTGCGTGTGAGCTCGTGCCCTTCTCTGACAGGTAGAGGCTTGGCCTGGTCGTGACGCTCCCTTGCCAGGAGCGGCCTGTGGCCGGTGAGATGCGTAGCCCTCGCTACTTCAGCAGAGGCGGAGGCACCCTGGGCAGGGTACGAGGCCTGGAGTGCAGCACTCGGCCCCTTGCACGCTGCGTGACTGTCC